TGAGGATTAAGACTTGGAGTCAAGGTGGACACAGTGGAGTGGTGGCTCACGCCTGTAGTCATTGCTATTTTGGAGGCTGAGATCTGAGGACTGCAGTTCAAAGCCAGCCCTGGCAGGTAAGTCTGTGAGACTCATCTCCAATGAACCATCACAACTGTGGGAAGTGGAGCTGTGGCTCAAGACAGAGCACCACCTTGAGCACAAAAGCTCAGGGAGAGGACCGATGGCTCTGATTTCAAGGGGTACATGACAGGAGGGAAGGAGAGAACAACAAAAGGAGGAAGAACAGGGGCGGCTGTGTCTCACACATCTACCCAGCGCCCCTGGCAGGGGTCCCCCAAACCTGGGGCTTCTGCAGATGGAGGTGAGGGTACACACACTGCCCAGGGCCCTCATCATTTCGGTGGCTTTTGTTTTATTAGTCAGTCCTGGAGCTTGAACTCAGGCCTGGGCGCTGTTCCCGAGCTCCAGTGCTGAAGGCCGGCACACCACCAGTTTGAGCCACAGCGCCACTTCGGGGTTTCTGGTGGCTCATTGGAGATGAAGAGTCTCAAGGCCTTTCCTGCTCAGGCTGGCTTTGAACCAAGACCCTCAGGTCTCAGCCTCCTGAGTAACTGAGATGACAGGTGTGAGCCACTGGATCTTTGTTTTAAATACGGTGTGCTCTCCAGGTTGGCCCCCACCTCCCCAGTGCTGGGGTCAGGGATGTGGCCACTGTTTCCCTGTGACTGGAGTCAGTTCCAGTCTCACTACAACTCCAATCTTCCGGAAATAGCTTCCTGGTCTCACACCCCCCAGTGCTGCAGCCCACCCCACCCCACCCAGTCCCCCCAGGTCCTGTGCTGTCCCCAGCCTGAGAGTGACCACGCCCAGCCCCTGCCCAAATCAGGCCCCATTCGGTCCTGCCACAGGCAAAGCCTCTGCAATCCGCCCCCCCCCCTGTAGCCACGTGCCCTGCAGCCCACCCCCACCTCTGCCCTGAGCTCCCCAGCCTAGCCCTGGCCCCTCCACCCTCCTCTTCCTCCTTTGTTCCTGATCCAGTAGCACCAGCTTCCTAGGGGACGCCAACACCCCAAGTGCTCCCAGGGCTTTTGCACATGCTGTTCCCGAGGCTCTGGCCTGGTCAGCTCGCAGTCAGGGCGCTCTGCCGCCCCCACTGAGCCATTCTGCCCGGCGCTCTGCAACTCCTCCCTGGCTGGCTCCAGCGAGCCCGTCCCCCCCGGGTGCTGGCACACATTTGGCAGCTTAGTGTTTGCTGATACCCAGGGGTGGGGGTTGGGAAGTCGGGTGTGGAGCCTGGGGTGTCGGGTGGGGGTCGGGGTGTCAGGTGTGGGGGCTGGGGTATTGGTTGTGGGGGTCAGGGTGTCAGGTGGGGGCTGGGGTGTGGGGGTCGGGGTGTCGGGTGGGGGCCGCGGGATGGCGTCCGGGTGTCTGTTCTGCAGGGACAGTTGAGGGAAGTGCGGGGCTGGGGCTGCACCACTCTGCCTGGTGTTGGGGTTCCCCTGCACCTCTGGATGGCGCCCCAGGCCTCATAACCCCAGGGACATGGGCGTCTGTTAGGGCGCTGCCTCCACCTGGCCGGCCGTTCTGGGCCGGGGGCGCAGGGTCCGGGCCGCAGCCGGCCTCCCCACTGCGGGGCGAACGCCATGTCCCACCCAGCCCAGCGGCAGCCTGGGCGCGCGCCAACTCACCTTGGGGTCACCCCTGCTGCCCACTGGCTTCCTCCTTGGAGCCCACGGGACCCCCGCGTGGACTCAGGGGGTGCAGGGCTCCCCACTCGGGACCTGCGAGGAGACGGACGCGTGGGGACGCGGGGCCACCGCGGCCTTACGCCGCAGCCTGGTCACCTCAGAGCGGAGGCGGCTGCGCCCGGGCGGCGCCACGGGGGCACCGACGGGATGGCTTTGCCCACGGGGCCTGGACGGGTGTCCCTGCCCAGGCTGGCAGTTCTGTGGGTCCTGTCTGTCTGTCCGTCAGCCCACAGCTCTTCCCGGCCTCCTCGAGGCCGCGGCCCGGAGGACGCAGCGGCCACACGAAGCGCTCTGGGCCTCTCTAGGTCCAGCCGCGGGGGCCCTGGGGCTGACCCCGGCCCAGGGGAGCGGGGGACACCCCAAGGTCACTGGCAGGTGCGGGGTTTCCACTGTGTCTTAGAGACACTGTTGAGCTGGCAGATTTTGTGACAAAGTTGGAGAGGGGAGGAGAGGAGGGGAACGGGAGGAGGGGTGGGGGAGGAAGAGGGGGATAGGGGGGAAGAGGAGGAAGACGGGACAGTGGATGGGGACGGGAAGGGGTCGTGGGCAGAGGGGACGAGGGGGGACAGATCCCAGGGCCCAGCTTGGGAGCCGCCGGCGGCCCGGCTGTTGGATGGACTGGGCCTCAGGCGCCCCGAGTTCCAGGTTCCGGGGTCCCCCAGGCCTCCCCGGCAGCGGCCTCGGTGGGGGTGACCTTGGCGGGCGCCCCGTCGGGGGGAGGTCGGGGTCCCCGCGCCCGCGCTTCGGGGCGCCCGGCTCCGGGCCACGCGGGGGAGGCGCCGCCCCCGGGAGCCGCGCCCCGCGTCCCGGGGGGCCGGGCCGCCCGCACCCCGGCCGGACCCCGCGCACACTCACCGGCCTGGGCGGCGCCGCCGGAGCCCCGCGCGCGCCCGCAGCCCGCCGGCCCGGCCCCTCCGTCTCTCCCGGGCTCGCCTGGGAAGAGCGCCGGGGACCGGGGCTGCGGTGGCTCCAGCCGCGCTTTATAAACCGGGAAACTGAGGCCCCGCCCGCCGCTGGCGGGGGGCGACGAGGCTCCGCCCCGCGCGGGCGCCGCGGCCCGGGATCCCCGCGCTGGCTGCCCAGGCCGCGGGGACGGGGACCCCGGGACCCCGCGGCGGAGGACCGTGAAGGTCGCCGGGCCCCGCCCCCACGGGAACCACCTCGGGGTCCCGCAGCTGCGCAGCCCGCGAGGCCTCGCTGCGGGGAGCCCGGCCCTCCCCCCGCCCGCCCCGCAGCCTAGAAATGGCCTCTCTGTCCTACCCTTCTTCGCCCCCCGCGGATCCCCCGCCGCGGGGCCCCGGTTCCAAGGCGGCTCCCCACCGCCCCGTCCTCACCCGGTGACGGGTCGCTGCGGTGCCTCACGCGCGGGCCTGGAGCGGAGGGAGGTCCCGCCCCTCCCCGTGCCCCTCCCCCTGCCCCCTCCCGTCCCCCCTGCCGCCCGCCCCTTCCCTCCCCGCCCCCTCCCGCCCCTCCCCCTCCCTCCCCCCCGCCGCCCGCCCATTCCCCCTCCCCCTGCCACCCCCTCCCCCCAGGGCGAGGGGACGGGGGGGGGGGGGGGCGCTCGGGGTCACCCGGGGCCAGGCCGCTCCCCGCGTCCCTGGGTGGCAGGGGAGGCGCGGGGCTCGGGGAGGGCGAAGGGCGAGGGCGCAGCGGCCCCGGGGTCACGCAGCGGCCCCCGCACGCCGGACCCCGAGTGGGGGCCTGGAGCCTCGGGGCGCGGGCCCCGAGGGCCGGGGATCTGGACCGCAACGCGGGCGGGGCCGGAGAACAATGAGCCCGCGCCCCGCACCCGGCGGAGGGTGCTCCGCGCGCTCCATCTGTTCCCTGAACCCCGAATCCGGAAACCCGCAGCCGGACCGAGGGGCGCCGGAGACGGGGGGAGACCGCACCCCAGCCCGGGTCCCGGGCTTCCCCACGGCGCCGTCCGGGGACGCACGCGGGGAACCCCGGCTCCCCGCGGCCACATGGCGCGCGCCGCTGCCAAGGCGACAGCGAGGGCGGGAGCGGGAGCGGGAACCTCGGGAAGACCCCGCGCTGGCGGCAGCCCCGCCGCCTCCCGGGCGAACCTCACTCTGGTTTGAGCCGGTTTCCCCGCCCCGCCCCCATGCGCACTGCGCCGAGAAAGGATTCCCTGACCCCTGGAGGGGGGGTGTGACCCACGCATGCGCACAGAGAGGGTGCTGTGTGTGTGTGTGAGAAAAACCAGAGATCCACGCATGCGCACAGAGAGGGTGCTCTGTGTGTGTGTGTGTGTGTGTGTGTGTGTGTGTGTGTGAGAGAGAGAGAGAGAGAGAAAAAAACCAGAGATCCACGCATGCGCACAGAGAGGGTGCTCTGTGTGTGTGTGTGTGTGTGTGTGTGTGTGTGTGTGAGAGAGAGAGAAAAAAAAAAACCAGAGATCCACGCATGCGCACAGAGAGGGTGCTCTGCCCCAGCCTGAGCGCGAAGGGAAAGCCCCGGCGTGCGCGTCCTGAGCCCAAGCACAAGCGCAGAGGGCGCCCGGCAGCCGCGGGTCCCTCTCAGTCGTCCTGGCAACGCGTGCAAGGGGGGCTGGGAAGGCTCGGGACTCCCCGCCCCCTCCCGGCCGGGGATTCCCAGCTGTCTGCGCGCAGGCGCGGCCCGGAATTCCCCCCCCCCACGACGGGGCGAGGCCGCGTCGACTTTCGGGGGAGGAACCGGAAGTGGTGGCTGTCCTTGTGCCCCCGGCTCCCGCCCTCCCCACCTCCCCGCTCCGCTTTGCCCGGGGCGGGGTCCTTTAGGCCCGGGTGGGATCGGAACCCAGGCCTGCGGGCGCTTTGCGCACGCCCTTCCCGGTCCTGCTCCGCTGCAGGTAGCTCCTGCTCTGGGGCGGGCCAGGCCTCGTGCTGGGAGGACGCGGGCCCGCGGGACACGGGCAGCCTTTCCCGGGGAGGCGGGTGGGGCCGGGCGCGGGGCTCCTGCGTGCAGGGGCGCCTGGCAGCAGACCTACGTGGCCCAGTATGTACTTCCACCCGCTCCCACCCTCATGCCTCAGTTTCCCCAACCGGGAAGCCACACACCCGTGCCTTCTTTGGATGGCACTGCCCGTGCCACCCTGCCGCGGCCCACGGGGTCGGGGCTGCAGATGTCTGCCCGCGTCTCCTGCGGCGCGGCGCCCCGTCCTCACCCCACACAGCTCCTGTGGAGGCCGGAGGAGCACAGCCAGGCTCAAGTCCCACCCGTCTTCCGGCCCTGGCCAGCGCGGGCTGCGACATCACATCGGCCCCAAGGCCTTGTCCACCGCTTTATTGGGAGCTCGGCTCCGGGGCTCTAGGCGCGTGCACACGGGGACAGGGTCACGGAGCGGACCCTCCGGCGGGAGGGGGCGGTGGTGCTGGCGCGGGCCCCGGAAGGGGCCAGGGGCCCCGAACTCCACAGTCCTGGGAGCCGGCCGGCCGGAGGGCGCGGGGCGGGGTGGAGGCTGGGCCGCGGGGCGGCGCCCCGGCTCCGCTCACTTAGGGGCGTTGAAGGGCAGCGCCCGCTGGTTCATGGGGTTGTCCGGGGAGCGCAGCCATTCCTTTTTCAGCAGCTGCTTCAGCTGGGACAGCCGCATGTTGGGGTTCTCCTGCTTCAGTCGGGGCAGCTGGACCTCTTCGAAGGCGGCGAAGGCCGCTCGCATGCGGCGCTCGGGGTGCCGGTCGGCCTCCTCCGCCACGCTGCGAGTGGGCAGGGGGCGTCAGGGGGTGGGGCGGGGCTCGCGAGCCCGCCCGGGAGTCACCCCACACCCCGTCAGCCTGGCCATCGTGGTGCGTGCTGCAGCACAGTCCCCAGCAACGCGGTCTCGCCCAAGGCTATGTCCCCAGGCCTCAGCCCCCCTTGTCCAGCTCTGCCCCGAGATATGGTACGGGCACAAGGCTGCCCCTCCCGGAGGCCCCGCCCCCAGAGCGCCTGCCCCGCCCCCAGGGCACCCAGCCCCCAGAGCACCAGCCCCCCGGCCCCGCCTCCAGAGCACCAGCCCCCCGGCCACGCCTCCAGAGCACCAGCCCCCCCCGGCCACGCCCCCAGAGCACCAGCGCCCCCCGGCCCCGCCCCCAGAGCACCAGCCTCCCCAGGCCCCGCCCCCAGAGCACCAGCCCCCCCCGGCCACGCCTCCAGAGCACCAGCCCCCCCCGGCCCCGCCCCCAGAGCACCAGCCTCCCCAGGCCCCGCCCCCAGAGCACCAGCCCCCCCCGGCCACGCCTCCAGAGCACCAGCGCCCCCCGGCCCCGCCCCCAGAGCACCAGCCTCCCCAGGCCCCGCCCCCAGAGCACCAGCCCCCCGGCCACGCCCCCAGAGCACCAGCCCCCGGCCACGCCCCCAGAGCACCAGCCCCCCGGCCACGCCCCCAGAGCACCAGCCCCCCGGCCACGCCCCCAGAGCACCAGCGCCCCCCGGCCCCGCCCCCAGAGCACCAGCCTCCCCAGGCCCCGCCCCCAGAGCACCAGCCCCCCGGCCACGCCTCCAGAGCACCAGCTCCCCGCCCCGCCCTCACGCCTCGCCCCCCCCACCCCCGCCGCTCCCCGCTCCCCCACCTGAGCACGGCGATGGCGTCCTCGATGGTGCGCGCCTCCACGCGGCCCTCCTCCGACGCGCGGCGGTTCAGGTTCTCCTCTAGGGGCACCTCCAGGTGGCTCTTGGCTTTCTCGGCTGGGGAGGGCGGGGACAAGGCGGTGAGCGGGGGGGGGGGGGGGGGGGGGAGGTCGGGCCCTGGGCGAGGGGCGGCCCCCCCCCCCCGCAGGCCCCACCTGGCTCCTCGCGGTGCTGCTGCTGCTGCTGGTCGCGGCGCAGCGTGTCCTCGATCTGGGCGCGCGTGACCTTGCCGGGCGCGGCAGGGGCGCGCGGGGCCTTGCCGCCCTTGAGCTTGGAGTCCTCCTCCTGCAGCAGCCGCTGCGTCTCCTTCTTACGCTCCAGCTGCTCCAGCCGCCGCTTCTCCTTCTCCTCCTGCGCGGAAGAACCCTTGGCAGCGGGACCGGGCCGCCCCGGTGACCGCCGTCCCCACGCCCGCGGACACAAGGTTTGCCTTGGGCTCAGGCCCGGGCCTGGCCACCGGAGGCTTCTGTCAGTGCCCAACTTAGGGAACTGACCTGTTCACCCGCAGCACCGCGAGGCCCACAATGAGGACAGAGGGCACAGAAGTCCCGGGGGACATGTCTGCTTGGTACAGGGGAGCCCTGGGCCAGGATGTTCTAGACAGAGACCAGCAGATGGCCGGTTTCATGGGCTTCTCCAGCCTTGGCCTGGCAGGTCTACCATCTTAAAGAACTGAAAAGCAGGGCGCAGCGGCCCGAGATCAGGAGACTCAGGTCCCGCAGAGTTAGGGAGGGGCTGTCTTTTAAAATGAGCTGGGCTTGAGAGCTGGGATAGTGGCTCTGTGGTAGAGCGCTTGCTTCACATGCATGAGGCCCTGGGTTCGATTCCTCAGCACCACATAAGTAGAAAAGGCCAGATGTAGAGTGCTAGTCTTGAGCTGAAGAGCTGAGGGACAGTGCCCAGACCCAGAGTTCAAGCCCCACGACTGACATCCCCCCCAAAAAAAGAAAAGAAAAAAAAAATGAGCTGGGCCCACCCCAGCATGGAGAGTGCACAGGAGGATTCCTGTCTAAGCCAGCCCCAGGTAAGAAAACAGGGCAAAAAGGCTGATAGAGCATCTGAGTTCAAATCCCAGCCCAGCCAATAGATAGCGCAGTATAACACGTTTCCTTTAAAAGGGCTTTTCTGTTTTTTAAGGTCTAGCTGCACCGCCTACATGGCCTTAATCGCTTGCTCCTTCCACGTCAATGTCCTGTGCTGCGCTCCCCCCAGATGTTAGCCGAGGTGCTCAGAGCACAGCTCTGCGGGCTCTGCTGTGGTCTGTGCTGAGACCACCCTCTGCTCCCCCCACACCCCATGCCTTGAGCCAGGCATCGGCTCTCCCTGCCAGAAATCCAGGCAGTCAACTCACTCCCTCTTCCCGAAGTCCAGGCATAACGCTGGGTCACTGTTGCTCTACAGCTTGTCCATGACAGACAGACAGAGCTTGGGGCCACACACCCAGACATGCAGGCACAACCTTCCTCTCGGCTCTGCTGTCCAATCTCTTGCTCCTCTGTGCCTCAGTTTCCCCACAGAAGATGCAGGCCCTGAGAGGGAGCTCCAGCCGGAGCCACCACTCCTGAGGCTGGACTGAAAACTGTGTTTGGGATCTTGGCTGCACTGATTTTCCCCATACGTCACACTGGATATAAAGAGCCATGTGTGGGGGTGGGCGCCAGCATTCACACCTGCAATCCCAGCTACTCAGGAGGCTGAGATCTGAGAATCAGGGTTCAAAGCCAGCCTGGGCAGCAAAGTGCATAGGATACTTATCTCCAATGAACCACCTGAAAGCTGGAGATGTCACTGTGGCTCATGCAGCAGGGCGCTGGCCTTGAGGACAAAAGTGCAGGGAAAGTACCCAGACCCTGAGCCCAAGCTCTAGGGCTGGCAAAGGAAAGAACAAAAGCGAGGTGTGGCCGGCTCTGCCAGGACGGAGAGGCGGCGCCACCTACTGGACGCAGCAGGTTGGCCCCAGTTCCCACCCAGATGTCCCGCGGTGACAGCCACCAGGGCCTCCAGGGCCCAGTCCTTCTCATCCACTCTGGCAGTGAGGCCCCAGATCCTCACCTTGCGCTGCTCCTTCCTCATGACGTGTTTGTCCTCGTCCTTCCAGTAGGCATCCTCCAGCTCCTTCTGCTTCCGCGCATCGGCCGCTGCCTTGGCCTCAGCCCTCCGCGCCCGGGCCGCTGCCGACTTGGTGTTCTCTCCCTGGAACTTCTTGGGCATTCCTTAGCAGCTGTGGGAGCAAGCAGGCGGTGGCAGTGAGAGGTGGGGGGTCCACGGTGCCCGGACCACATGCCAGGACCCAACCCTGGCCTTGCCAGGGAGCCGCTGGAGCCTGCACCACACAGAGCATGGGCGTCGGTGCTGCCCAGCCTTTACCACGAGTCTGCCCGTCGCCCCCCCCCCCCCCCCCAGCCACGGGGCTGCTTCCTGTCCTTCAGGGGATCCAGGCACCCCGTGTGGCCTCTGCCTGGCTTCCTTCACAGGTTTGTGCTTTAAGCGTCAACCATGTTGTAGTCTATCAGGTGCTCTGTTCCTTTTCCTGGCCAGGTAGTATTCCTCGGTGAATGCACCGTCCTCATCCTGTTTGCTGCTGACAGGCTGGGCATCTGCCCAGTGTGGCTGCTCCCAGTGGTTCCTGCCTCCTATGGCCTAGGTCTGGGCACATTGGGCAGACAGCACCAGCACATCCACTCAGAATCACCAGGGAGGGCTGGGAAGGTGGCTCAGTAGTAGAGTGCTTGCCTCGCATGCCTGAGGCCCTGGCTTCGATTCCTCAGAACCACAGAAGCAGAAAAAGCTGGAAGTGGCACTGTGGCTCAAGGGGTAGAGTGCTCGCCTTGAGCTGAAGAGCTGAGGGACAGCGCCCAGGCCCAGAGTTCAAGACCCACAACTGACAAAAAAGAAATTCACAGTGCGTCCTGCGCCACTCACGGGCCAGGCTTCGGGTGTGCGTCCATGTTAACTCGCACAGCTCCAGTTCATGCTGCCCAGTTCTGGCTCTGTTGTCCTGCCTAGGCCCCAGCTGGCCTTCAAAGGACACTGGTACAGGGAGAGAGGCTGTGGCACCAGGCTGCCAGCCAAGCCTGCAGCCCACACAACATGGAACTCTGTACCAGGGAGATACCTGGCCGGCTTGGTGGGCCATGAGCAGTCTGAGCCTTAGTTTCCCCAGCTGAGACACAAGTCTGATGCCCACCCCTCCCCGCTGGGCACCACACAGCATGCAGCAGCCTGACTGGGGGTCCCCTAGCCCTTCCCTGGCCCTTGAACCTCGGGTTCACTGCCCAGTGCTCAGAGGACCCAAACAAGCCCTCCCCCAGGCTTCTGGGGAGAGCACAGAAGTGGGGTGACCATCCGGGAGGGGGTGTGGTCACTTCCGGGGGGGGGCTATCCGCCCGGCTCCGGGGCTCACAGCAAGCAGCTGACCTGGGCCCTTCCAGGGCCGGGGCTTCCCGGGTGTGCGCCCTGGGCTGGCCCGGAGCCTCACAGCCTGGAATCCACCGCGCGCCACGCCACAGGTGCGGGCGGGGCTCCCACGGCATCCCGGGCTGGTCTCAAACTCCTGACTCACGTCACCCCCGCCCCGTCTCCCGCGACGGGCACCGGGATGCCACTGTGGTCCCCGGCCGGGGAGCAAGGCGTCTGTCTGTCTGCAGCCAGACACCGCCGCGGCCAGCGACCCCGGGACGCGGCTGCGGGCCGGGCCGGGCCGGGGCCGGACCCACTCGGCTGTCGGGGTACACCGGCGCCGGCGACCCGAGGCGTGGGGGGCTGAGCAGGCGGACCACGGGCTCCGGGACGGGCACACGCAAACGATTCTGCCCAGACTCACGGAGGCCGCGTGACCAGGTGTTCCGGCGGGAACGGGGTGCGGGGCCGCGCGCCGCCGGCTCCGGGGCGCCCGCGCCCGGCCCCGGGCTGCCCCCGCGCCTCCCGCTCTCCCGCCACCGGCGCCGCGCTCTCAGCCTCTCCGCCGGGACCCCCACCCCGCCGGCGGCCCCGACACCGGGCGCGGCGCGGGACGACGCGGGCTGCTGGCCGCACGTCGGGGTCCGCAGCGGGAAGCGGGCGCGGCCGGGGGGAGGCCGCTCCGGCAGCTCCGCCGCCGGGGGGGACCGGAGTCCGCGCGGCGGCCGCCCCCGGGGCCGCGGGCCGGGCGCCCCCGCCCCCGCCCCCCAGCTCCGCCCGCGCCGCAGCCGCTCCTACCTCCTTCCCCCGGCGCCGGCGCGGTCGCTCTGCGTGACGTCACCGCGGGGCCTGCGCGCCGGTCGCCGGCGGCGCGGGTCATGACGTCAGGCTCTGTCGCCATCTTGGTGAAGGGGAGCTCGCCGGGCCTAGGGCCCACGCAGTCACCAGTCATTTCTCTTTTGAAAGAGAGTCTTTCGTCACATTCGCATCCCCAGGGCTCAGCGCTACGTTGAGGCACCGGGGCGGTGGTGGCGCTTCACGTAGAGGCCCAAGTACACGGCATTGCCTTTACCAAGATGTCGCTGCCCGGAAGAAAGATGGCGGCCGCGGCCTCACAGGAGGTCCGCCAGTTTCAATGCCAGGACTTGCCCGGCCGCTAGGGCGCGCGCGAGGTCCGCGCGGAGCCCGGGTCCGGAGGCCTCCCGGGGCATCGCGGAGGGGGGCGGGTGCAGGCGCCCCTCGCGGCCCGGCTCCTTCACCGTGAGGCCTTGGTGAAGGTGCCGTTACACCTGTCATCCGGGGACTCCCAGGCGGCCGTCGGGTGCCGGCCACGCGCGCGCGAAGGCCCGGGTTCGAATCCTCAGCACCACATGCTCAGAAAAAGCCGGACGTGGCGCAGGTGATAGAGCGCCAGGCTTGTGCACAACCCCTCAGGGACAGCGCCAGGCCCCGGATTCATGCCCCACGACCGACAAAGAAATAAAGCAATAAACAACGGGACTGCCAAAGACAGGGTTAAAAACAACGTTAAAAGTTGCTGGTTACCAACAGCAGAAGTGACAAGGCTTTCCTGGCCATTGTGTCCTCTTAAGGTCAGATGTGACAGGTCAAAGGGCACCGACCGTCATCTTCCCAGCACTTGGGCTCCTATGGGGCTCACACACCTGCCCCAGGACTCTGCACACAGCACGTTAGGACCGCTGGAAACGAGTTTGTTTTTCCAGAATTTGCTCAACTCAGAGATTTCCATATAGGAAGAGAGGCAAAGGAACTCTGGCGCTCCTGGTCCACGGCCCTCTGCACCCTGAGCTACAGCTGCACTTGTGGTTTCTGGAGGTTACTTGGAGATCAGAGTCTCCCGGACTTTCTGCCTGAGCTGGCTTTGAGCTGCAACCCTCAGGTCTCAGCCCCCTGAGTAGCTACGATTACAGGTGTGAGCCACCAGCTCCTGGTCCTTTTATATCTTGTTCTACTCTGCTTTAGAATGACTTTCCCAGTTTGCGGCTTAAGTAACAAGTACTTTCAATTCATGTATTTCAGCTATTTCTTCCCTTCCCAGGTAAACCTTCATTCCCTCCGAGTTCAGACAGAAGGAAAGGGGGAATTAGAAATGCAACTAATAAGCTGATAAGCTGCGTTGACTGGGTGAGTAGGCCTTGTGAGTAAACACATTCACACATTTGGGGCCCAGCTTTCTATCTGAGCCGTTCTCTGCTACAGTCACTCACAAGGGGCTCGGGGTCTGGGAAGGAACAGATTCACCGAAACTGACCTGTTTATGTGAAGGTGTTTCAAAATTAAGATTTTAAAAATTAACTTTCAAAAATCATTAAAAAAAAAAAAAAAAAAGAACCCATCCTGTGATGGAAAAGGAATGCAAACTATGCCTGCACTGGGCAATGAATGCCATCTTTTTTTCTTGCCAGTCCTGGGGCTTGAACTCAGGGCCTGGCACTGTCCCTGAGCTTCTTCTTTTGTTCAAGGTTAGCACGCTACCACTTGAGCCACAGAACCACTTCTGGCTTTTTCTGTGATTCATTGGAAAAAAGCTTCTCATGGACTTTACTGCCTGGGCTGGCCTTGAACTGTGATTCTCAGATCTCAGCCTCCTGAGTAAGTAGCTGGGATGACAGGTTTGAGCACCGGTGCCCAGCTCTGGCTCTTGTTTAGACAATGGACCAGAGGGCACAACTCCAGGTGTCGTGCACATTCAGTGTCTCAAAACCCCCATCTGTCCTGGTGGGCTTCCGGGTTTGCAGAGGCCTCCAGTGTGGACCCAGCCTCCTGCCCTGGGCCTCTCCCTGCGGGACCACAGATAGCTTAAGTCACCTGCACCCTCTTGTCACAAAGAAAAAGCAAATGTTTGAGCTCTGGTGGAATCCAGCCTCCACCCTGGGACCCAGTGGGGGCCCCTTGGAGGCCCAGCCCTGGGGACACAAAGCTGCCCAGGCCCATTTGTTCCCAGGGCTGACCTCACTCCACCCAGACCAGTCCAGCCCCTGAAAGGCCGCGATTTTCCTTTTGGCTGATAGGGACAATCAGGGGACCAATTCCCCACATCAAACACAAGCATGAAGGCCCCAGGAGGCAGGCTCACCCCACCGAAGCAGTGGCCCCATCCCTGGCGCACACCCCAATTGCCATTTATGTTTTGTCTTTGCTTTTTGTTTGTTTAAATCTCGGGTTTCCCATTGTGGTCCAGGCTGAATTCTCGGCCTCAAGCAATTCTCCAGCCCCTGTCTCCTCAGCTGCCTCCCAGTGCCTGGCTTGCACACATTTCCTTTTGTGGAGTTTGACCTCCATGGCTCCTGTTGGAGAATCCGGATTTGGTTACTTTTTCCTGATGGTGTCTTGCTTTATTCCTGGGCTGTGTCTTCCTCCTAGCTGGCACTGCCAGAGCTAGCTTTTGCTGTTAAGATGGGGTCTCAACAGAAATAGTGTTGCTTGGTGCTGGTGGCTCCCGCCTGTCATCGGAGCTACTCAGGAGGCTGAGATCTGAGGATCGCGGGTCAAAGCCAGCGGGGCAGGAAAGCCAACCATGAGATTATTTCCAATTGATCACAGAAAAGCTAGAAGTGGTGCCATGGTTCAAGTGGTAGAGTGCTACTCCATTTGTTTGTTTGTGCCAGTCCCGGGGCTTAAACTCAGGGCCTGGGCGCTGTCCCTGAGCTGCTTTTGCTCAAGGCGAGCGCTCTACCACTGGAGCCACAGCGCCACTTCCAGCCTTTTCTGTGTGTGGTGCTGAGGAATGGAACCCCGGGCCTCATGCATGCTGGGGGAGCACTGTACCACTGAGCCTCCTTCCCAGACCCCAAAGTGCTCCTCTCAGGCGCGGAGCCCAAGGTCCAGGACTGACAAAGGGGGGGGGGAGAGGGAGGGAGGAGGGAGGGAGGGAGGGATCAAAGGTCCTGGTCCCAGGCAGCTGGGGGCACCGGGTCTGGGGTCTGGGGAGCAGCGAAGGCCCGGGTGTGGGAGGCGGGAGGAGCCCGGAGGGAGGCCGAGCCGGGCGGGCGGTGCTCCCGGAAGACCCGCAGCCCCTTCCCGGCGGCTGCCCCGCACCTGCAGCCTCCTGGGCAGGGGAGTGAAAGGACCTAGGACCGAGGACCGGCTCCCGCTGCCACCAGAATGCGGCCTGCGGGAGAGACGCCGCCTCCGCCGAGAGGCCTGGCCCAGGAAGGGCGGGGGCCGGGGGCGGGGGAGTGGGGTGGGGGGAACGGGGCGCGGGGGGGGGGGGGGGACAGGGGAGGTTGGGGGGCGGGAGGCGGGGCGCGGGGGGGGGGATGGGGTGGGGGGCGGGGCGCTGTGGGAGATGGGGGTGGGGGCGCGGGGGATGGGGTGGGGGGCGGGGCGCCGGGGTGGGGGGGGCGGGAGGCGGGGCGCGGGGGGATGGGGGCAGGGGGATGGGGGGCGGGGGAATGGGGGGCGGGGAGGCGGGGCGCGGGGGGGGGATGGGGTGGGGGGCGGGGCGCTGGGGGAGATGGGGGTGGGGGCGCGGGGGATGGGGTGGGGGGCGGGGCGCTGGGGGAGATGGGGGTGGGGGCGCGGGGGATGGGGTGGGGGGCGGGGCGCCGGGGTGGGGGGGGCGGGAGGCGGGGCGCGGGGGGATGGGGGGCGGGGGAATGGGGGGCGGGAGGCGGGGCGCGAGGGGATGGGGGTGGGGGCGCGGGGCATGGGGTGGGGCGCGGGGCGCCCGGGGGTGGAGGGGGCGGGAGGCGGGGCGCGGGGGGATGGGGTGGGGGTCGGGGCGCCGGGGGATGGGGCGGGGGGGGGCGGGGCGCCGGGCCCCCCTGCTGGGGTCGGGGCTCCCTGGGGTGGTCAGCCGCAGGGCCAGGGAGGCCAGGGAGAGGCCGGCTCCGTCCACAGTGGGCGATCAGCGGCGGCCAGGCCGCGGGTCCGGAGCCGTCCCAGGCGGGGGCACCCCGCCGCGCCCCCCAGGACAGGAAGCGATGGCGCGGAGGCCCGGAGTCAGGCAGGGCAGAGGGAAGCCATGGAGGCCCGGCCGTGGCCGCCTGTAACCCGGAGGATCGGGTGGGACCTCAGCCTGGGCATCAGCCCGCAGTGGGGCTGCGGTGCCTGCGGAGAGCGCCTCACCCAGCCGCACAGGACCGTCATTTGCATAGGGCCTGCGCATTTGCATAGGCACGCCCACTTGCATAGGGCTGGTATCTGCATAGACCCCACCTATTTTCCCCATAGGCCCTGTGTATTTGCAGGGACCCTGCTCATTTGCATAGGCCACACCCATTTTGCATAGGCCCCGCACATCTGAACAACCCCTGGGCATTTGCACAGCCCCTGCCGGGTCCCTGTACACTGTATCCATCTCTAGATGATTGGTGGCTTGTGTTTGCCACAGTGTATCAGGAAGGGCATGCCTCGCGCCTCACCCCTGCAGGGAACCTGAAGTGCAAACTTCAGGGAGCGAATGTTCTGCTCGCTACTCCAGAGATTGTTTCTTTCCCCCCCCCCCCGAACACTCCCGCCGGCAGTTCATTGACCCCCCCTGACCCCCTGACCCCACAGATCGGCATGTGACTTCTCAGCGGTTTTATTTGTAATCAGCTAGAGCTGGAAATCACCCAGAGGTCCCGGGAAGGAGCAGGCCGCCGCGGGAGTGTTACTCAGCAGTGAAAAGGATCTGAACACCCCGGATGGGCACGCAGCCGTGGGAGGGGGGCGGAGGGGGGCGGGCAGGAGGGGGGCGGGGTCCACAGCCGCGGATCCCGCTCGGACCCCTCTTGCCCTCGGTCCTCGCCCCCTGCAAGGTTCTGTTCCCGCCGGCCGGGACAGAGCCGCGGCAAGGACCGATCGAACTTTCCAGAAAACTCCGAAGGCGTTCTGGGCCTCAGGTGCGTGCGCG